AAAAAAAAAACAAAACAAAACAGTTTCAAAAGATTGCATCTGCATTAAAAGAAAATGGATATCAAAGATTTAATTACAGGGAGGTTAACCATCACAAGTCAGTGGTATATTGCTTCATAGTTGTTAGATAAGCTTAAGAAAAAGGAAGAATTGTCACATACATTGTATTAATTTAGAAAAAGAATATAATAGAGTGCGTATAGATTAATTTTATGGGTATTGGTTAAAAAGTTAACTCTTTAGCAGATACTTATCAATCTGCTAGGTATAAATTCCCATTAAAAGAAATGGTACATGTTGCTGCATTAGAGATAAACCACATATTAAGAGTGAGATGATAGTATTTTCAATGATAAGACTTAAGAGTAGGACCCAAGCAGAAATCCTTGAGTTAGTTAAGCTGAAAACTGCACATTGGGTGAGAACTTTGGATGATTTCAAAGTCTTTTCACTAAATGATAATTTGAGAATCTGGAAAGAGGTGGCACCATCAGCTATAGACAAGGCAAGGGAAGTGATGGAATGGCAGGGGGTAGGGGGTGTCTTCAGAGATAAAGAAGGCAGAGTGGTGGTTCAATATTCAGGACCCTTGGAGCATAGCGATGCATTGACAGCTGAACTGGTTAATCTACTGCAGGGGTTAATACCCAGATTCCTTGGGTATTCAGGTATAAATTTAGGGAGATTGTAAGCCTAACAAGAGAACTAAATGTTTCCTTTAAGTGGGTAAGAAGAACAACAAATGGAATGGCAGATTCTCTGGCCAAACAACGGTCTGTGAGACGACATATGTTTTTGGCAAATCTGTAATCTTTGCTGATTGGGAATGGAACTTACACCCTAGATCTTGTAATTCCTAATCTTTCATTAATAAAATTCATTTTCTGCTGATTAAAAAAAAAATGATTGCATTTGCATCTACATCTCTCTAAATATAGTATGGTGGGACTCATCATCATCATCATCTAAGCCCAACTATATGGGGATGGCTACATGAGGCCTGTTTCACCATTCCATTCTGTTTAGTGCAATATAGTATAGGGGTCAAATAAGATTATTTGGTTTTTACCACTAACTAATTCTTTTCACTACATTTAAATTGTTGTAGTGATGAATTTTCCATGTAAGGTAGGAAGGTAGGTAGTGATTTTTGTGGTATTTCTAAGGTGTCCTTTTTCTTTCTTTATTGTATTTGTTTAGTTATATTTTTGTATTTGCATTCTCTTCCAATCTATTTTGATTTTTTAGCATTCTGATTCTGTATGATTGGCCTTTCCCTTGCAGATCTTTTGGTTTTACCCACTATACGTTTTCAGCTATGTGTTGAGCAGCATCTGGTATTGATTGTTTCTTTTATCCACTGTTTCATGCCATGTAGCAAATTTTTTGCAATTAATGTTTCTGTAATATTATCATATCACTATTTTGGTATCAATCCTCACTTGTAAATATAATGCCTTTTGTTCTTAATGTATTGTTTAATTGGAATATTGCTATGTTGTTGCAAGTTGTAACTCAGCTGATACATGAACCTCTTTCCAACTTGTAACCAAACATTTAGCTACCACATAATTGGTTATGTGCATTGGCTTATTTCTTAGCCTTTTTTTGTGGGCAATTAAATTCTCATAAAAAAGAAAAATATATGCCCATCAATTACGAAGATGATGTAGGTATGGAAGCAAAGAGATAAACCATGGAATAAGCAAGATTAAAATTTTGGACTATTGGCTGCGTTTGTTTGCGATACAAACGCTGAACCGGGGTATTTATGCACCCCAGTTCGCGTTTGCGAGCATTTGTTTGAAACGTAAAAAAATAATGATTATCAAAGTAAATTTGCATTTTTCTGGTACTTTTGTACTCTAAAAAGAGAGTATATTTTTTTTTTTTACACATTTGTATTCATTTGATAATTAACTTTTTGACCAAAGTTGAGGCATTGGAGCATAAGATAGTTGGAGCATTTAATGATGGGTCCACATCTTTGCACCGATTTCAAACAAATAGGATGAATGCAAAAACGGTTTAAAATGTGAGAACGCCTTGCAAAAACAGTTCACATCTTTGCACCGATTTGCACTCGTGAACCAAAAAATGAATAATATGTACTGGACACGTTTGCATTGCAACCAAACGCAGCCATTGGGATTTAAGTAAGAACGCCTTGTCTGTTTTAGCATGTGAGAACGCCTTCGTGTATATTGACTATTAATTAATTATAGGCATCTTTTTGGTGTTACATTTTTTTTCTTTTGTACAGTTCTCTATTATTTTTTTTTCTGTCTTGTTTCTATTTTTTAAAATGTATAATTAATTTTGGTTTCTTTTATTCAAATATCTTATTGGTAAATAAAAATTAATAAAATGAAAATTATTTAAAATAATTTTAACTACAAAAATAGTGATAAAAAATGAGACTACCTTCCGGTTAGTGCAAGAGTCGTTAGAACACCTTGCATTAGAATATCTTCGTCCTATGCGTTATTTCATGGAGAGAGATTTCCAAAGCAAAGTTATTAAAGCTGCTCAAATGGGTTTACACCAACTAAAATCCGATTTTGATAAAAACCTCGATATTTTTTATCATTTTAATGAAATTACTAAATTTTTCCCTCACCTTTTTCAAGCACATTGTTTTTGTTTTATCATTTTATTAAATTACTTCCACAATTCCACTAGCCCCTGCAATGCAGGGACCCCTCCGCTAGTTTATGAATTATTATTCATTGAAGATGTTTCAATGCATGGTAGGATGTACTTGTGAGATTGGTGTGAGGAGTAGACCTGGTTTCTCCTATCTTGCACTATCATGAAAATCCAAAGGCCTCGTCAAGTGATTATTTAACCATCATGAGAATCCAAAGGCTACGTTTGTTTTATGTGTAAATGCAATTTTAGATCAATGAAAAAGCTGGCACTAGTTCAGTGATCAATAGAAAATAAAACCAAGCGGATTTAAATTTTTGCGTTGATGATGTTTGGCTGTGAAAGGCTTCTACTCTGTTTTTGCCATGGAACTCTCCCGATCCCAGCAATGTCATGGCAAAGATTAGTGTGTCGTCACCAAATAATTTCCTCTTCAGAAAATACAACGTTGGGCACATCTCTCTCTGTGTCTATATTCTTTGCCTTAGTCTACTTCATTGGCATCCTCCTCCTCCTCCGTGAGGTCCCACTGTCCTCTGGCTCCGTCCAAGAGAAACAAGATCATTATTTCAATATCTTCAATGTCATCACTGTCACTATGGATGTTTATCTCTTGGCCTTTGACGTCACCAAAAACCATGGTCTTCTTTCCATCGCTTTTGCCATTGTGCTTCTCATCATCCTAGTTGCATGCTTGGCTATCTAGTTGTACTCTGCATTCCAGAGCTGGAGATTGAAGTCAAGATCCAAAGATCCCACATGTGAAGATGGGGAAGTGGATATGAGGCTATCGCCCCCTATGATTGAAGAATAACACATGATTCTAGAAACGATCAAGACCTTGGATTTATGGATATTGTTCATGTCATTTCTTTGCAATGTGGGTACAGGGTTGGCAGTAATGATCAACATAGGTCAAGTGGATTGGTGCTTTGGATAATGACAAAGCATAGACTATTTGACCGTTGTAGAGTTTTACACCAAAGACGATGGAGATTTTCATCGATTTTTTCAGTGGAAACTTTTCATTGATTCTTGATGTAAAATTCACCTTAAGTGGAGTTTTACGCTAATTTACAATGTAAAACAACACCTAAAACAAAACGTAGGGAAATTTGAACCAGGGTATAAAGTTTATCTGGTTCTTATTTACATCGAAAACAAACACGGCCATAAGGGGGAAAAACACAAACACACAATTAAAAAAAAAAAAGCGGATCTTAATGCCCATCGGTGTGCAGTAATAGGGTTCTGAAATCAGAATCGGAATGAGCTATTCTGGTTATCGAAATCCCATTTCCATTCACGATGCCCTCCCTCTCCCATCAGAATGAAATCCCATACAACAATGATTCAGTTCCCATTTTGATTAGTATTTTGATTCCAATTCTAAAGTATTTTTATTTGGTGGGTCCTACATAAAAAAGGGTAAATTACAAAGACCCCCCCTGAACTTTTACATTGCGACAAATGCCCCCTTGGCCGTTAAATCAGGTAATAGAATGTGTTAACTTACCAAAATACCCCATTAGGCTTTTTAAATTTTATTTTTTTGCCATTCTCTCTTAAAACTTAACTGGCCCAAAAGTAACGATTCGTTCACCACAGCCATTCTCTCCTAAAACTTACTAGAATTAGGGTTGTTATTTAACATAAGGTATGGAGAGACGAATAACCAGTTGGCATAATCTCAGCACCAACACCTCCTCGAGGTGTTGAAAAACTAGTTGGCATTCCTAGATAACTTTTTGGACGAGAAAAGAAGAGACCGGTGAGATGAAGATGACAGAGAAACCGACATGCTTTTTAAATGGTTTGGTAGAGGTCGCCAACGACCTGGGTATATTTCATTATGTCTTCAACGCTGGCAGTCAGCTGAGGTCGCCCACTACCAAATGGATGGTCAGCTGAGGTCACCCACTACCAAATGGATTCTCCCAAGTTCCCGCTACGAAATAGATTCTGCCAAACTGTACACTAATGGGACTGATGCATGGTCTAAATTCATACAAACAGGTCCGTGTGTGGTTGAGGTCAAATAGGCTTTTGTTAAACACAGTGGAGGACTTCGATCAGACTGGTTTACAATATTTCAGAAGAGTGAGTGGTCGGCCTGTTTGGGCGATTGGGCCTACCGCCTCTTCCTTGGCCAACAAAACTTGTACAGACAAAGCCACCAAAACCACCCCGAATCAATGCATTGAGTGGCTCGATATGTAGCCTCCAGATTATGTTCTGTACATCTGCTTCGGTTCTCAAAACACAATCTCTACTTCACAAATGACGGAATTGGCTATTGCTTTGGAGGCAAGTGGTAGGAATTTTATATCGGTCGTTAGGCCTTCAATGGGATTTGACATGAACTCTGAATTCAATGCGGATGACTGGTTGTCGGAGGGATTCGAGGAACAAATAAAAGCGCAAAACAGAGGATTATTGGTGCGTAAATGGGCACCCAGGTGGATATTCCATCTCACATGTCTACCTTTGCCTTTCTAAGCCATTGTGGTTGGAATTTGATGAAGGGGAATTTGGCCCGACCTCGCAATTACCCGACACGTGGCAAAAACAAGCAACTCGGGACAGTAGAGC